ATGAAGGCTAAAAAAGCCAAAAGACTGTGGCTTACCATGGCTGCCTGCAAGCCGAATTCTGTTGCTTGGCACTGCGTGAGTGATCTCTCACACCAAACCGGCAGGCCCTCAATATAAGAGGAAAAATGCGACCTTGTAACGAAAGCACATGTGCTGTGTAATGTGAACAGCAAAATTTAACGTGAAAGAGTGTACCCGTTGTTCTCTAAAATGTGTCTTTTTTAACCATCTCTCCCTTCCCCTCCACCAGCTGCAAATGTTTCTCCTTCACAGAGGCTAGTGAAGATTAGAAGGAGAAAATGGTGGACTCGGGATGATATGTTCTCGGAGCTCCAGATGTTCTCCCACGCTGACAGAGCACAGCAGAATGCGTGGAGGCAGTCAATGTCAGTGCAAAAAAGCACAATATGAACGAGAGGAGAGGTGGCAGGCTGAATCGCGGGATGAACAGAACAAGTGGCGGGCTGAAGATGATAGGTGGCATCAGATTGCTGACAGAAGGCAAGAGTCGATGCTCCGGCTGCTGGAGCATCAAACTGATATGCTCCAGCGTACGGTTGAGCTGCAGGAAAGGCAGCAGGAGCAGAGACCGCCGCTACAGCCCCTGTGTAACCAACAGCCCTCCTCCCCAAGTTCCATAGCCTCCTCACCCAGACGCCCAAGAACGCGGTAGGGGGGCCTCCAGCCACCCAGCCACTCCACCCCAGATGATTGCCCAAGCATCAGAAGGCTGGCCTTCAATAGGTGTTAAAGTTTAAAGTTTTAAACTGCAGTGTGTCCTTTTCCTTCCCGCCTCCCCCACCCCTCCCAGGCTACCTTGGCAGTTATCCCCCTAGTTGTGTGATGAATTAATAAAAAATGCATGAATGTGAAGTAACAATGACTTTATTGCCTCTGCAAGCGGTGCTCGAAGGGGGGAGGGGAGGATGGTTAGTTTACGGGGAAGTAGAGTGAACCGGGGTGGGGGTGGGGGAGGGTTCATCAAGGAGAAACAAACAGAAGTTTCACACCGTAGCCTGGCCAGTCACAAAACTAGTTTTCAAAGCTTCTCTGATGCACACCACGCCCTGCTGTACTCTTCTAACCGCCCTGGTGTCTGGCCGCCCGTAATCAGTGGCCAGGCGATTTGCCTCAACCTCCCACCCCACCATAAATGTCTCCCCCTTACTCTCACAGATATTGTGGAGCGCACAGCAAGCAGCAATAACAATTGGAATATTGGCTTCGCTGAGGTCTATCCGAGTCAGTAAACTGCGCCAGCACGCTTTTAAATGTCCAAATGCACATTCTACCACCATTCGGCACTTGCTCAGCCTATAGTTGAACAGGTCCTGACTACTGTCCAGGCTGCCTGTGTATGGCTTCATGAGCCATGGCATTAAGGGGTAGGCTGGGTCCCCAAGGATAACGATAGGCATTTCAACATCCCCAACGGTTATTTTCTGGTCCGGGAAGAAAGTCCCTTCCTCCAGCTTTTGAAACAGACCAGAGTTCCTGAAGACGCGAGCATCATGTACCTTTCCCGGCCATCCCACATTGATGTTAGTGAAACATCCCTTGTGATCCACCAGGGCTTGCAGCAGCATTGAAAAGTACCCCTTGCGGTTTATGTACTTGGTGGCTTGGTGCTCCGGTGACAAGATAGGGATATGGGTTCCGTCTATCGCCCCACCACAGTTTGGGAATCCCATTGCAGCAAAGCCATCCGCTATGACCTGCACGTTTCCCAGAGTCACTACCCTTGATATCAGCAGGTCTTTGATTGCATTGGCTACTTGGATCACAGCAGCCCACACAGTAGATTTGCCCACTCCAAATTGATTCCCGACTGACCGGTAGCTGTCTGGCGTTGCAGGCTTCAACAGGGCTATCGCCACTCGCTTCTCAACTGTGAGGGCTGCTCTCATCCTGGTATTCTGGTGCTTCAGGGCAGGGGAAAGCAAGTCACAAAGTTCCATGAAAGTGCCCTTACGCATGCAAAAGTTTTGCAGCTACTGGGAATCATCCCACACTTGCAACACAATGCGGTCCCACCAGTCTGTGCTTGTTTCCCGGGCCCAGAATCAGCGTTCCACGGC